ATATATATATATATATATATATATATATATATATATATATCAAGTGTAAGCAGTATATGGTGTGTGTATAATGGTACACAAGGGATGACTCGCTTATAAACATCCTTATTACCTTGAAAATCACATAGGCTTGAAAACGTGCTGAATGGTACTACAAGAAATCATTTAACTATATTTTGTTCAATAGGTCTTGCTTAAACTAGATTGTTGGAGGTGGAAGATATATGCAATTCATCAAAAGTCATTTTAATAAGATTAAAGTACAGGTTTTTGCAAAAACTGTGATTCCACGTCAATTTTAAATAAAAGTGAATCACATGCCTAGTTGACATCTTCAATGATGATTTATTTAATTTTTTCTTTTTTTATATATATATAATTATATTTTAGCTCTATTTCCTTATTGAATTTACTGAAATGTGCCACATGAAGTAATACAGTTGTTAGTGTCCCTTGAAGCATAGACTCGGCCAGCAGTGGGACTTGTTTATTTGGGTGTAAATATTTATCATGAACCTTTTTGAAAGCTTGTTTCACAAGTTTTTATTTAGAACAATATCTGCAGCGGGCACTAAGGAAAGTCATTGAAGATGACTGAAGTGCACAGGAATGATGCAGCCAAGATGAGCAAATTGAATCATTCTCTATTGGTGCATTTATTACAGAACTATTCCACGCACTGGAAGTTAGTACATCATGTAAGGAATATCATGCTTGTAAATAACTCATCTTTCATTTGGACTAACTTAAGGATGTTACCAAATTTTTGTTGCAGTTTATGGAGTAATAGTTGTTTTAAAGAATTTCAAAATTAGTTATAAAAGTCATATGAAGCCAAATTATGGTAAGACATTTGTTCTCTGAGTGATTGAACAATGTTCAATGTAAATGCTCTCAAGGAAATCCCTCTTTCTTATGGTTATTAAAATGTTGTAAGTACTCGTGTTTTGTTCACCTTGAAAGATTATGTACTCCTGCCCCAAGGGTATGGCTCTCCACTTAGCCATGCTGGCTACCTCATGTAACTGTCATTATTTATTCAGTGGCTACTTAGGTAACAATTTACTGGTGTAAGAAGTACTAATTGGCTTTTAATTTGAAGTTTAAAAGTGGTGTCATGCTACTGAATAATCTTAAAGGGAAAAGAATTGAGAAAAATGATAAAGTATGTCAGTTATCAAAAACCATTTGTCAAGAGTTAGTTATTCCACACACAGACTTTTGTGTAAGTGTGGATTTTGTGTAAAACAACTTTTTAAAGTTTCTACTGAATGTTTGTTGCATCTAAGGAATGTGTGTTGGTAATGTTTATCTGATATAAATTTATTTAGTTGTAATCCTGTATTGTGAGGTGTACTATAAACATCTCTTGATGATGTGCAAAACAGCTGGAGTTGATAACTGATTAAGATCATATTAATAACTGTCATGAGAGATGTAAGCTTAAAGCAATATGAAAAGAACAGTGTTTTTTGCTGTGAAAGTGTTAAGAAAGCATGAATACAAGTTTCTTTTGCTGCAAAGTTTGAAAACTCATCGCTATCCCATATAATGTGGAAATATTTTTTATTATTATTGCAAGACCAGAATTTTATTTTAGTGATTTGACTGGTCTACAATTGTAATTTTTACCAAACATTACATAAAAATAAACTTCATTGAATAGATATACAGTACATTTTATTATTTTTTATTCCAATCCATGTGAAACTTTCTCCAAGGTTAACACGAGGGCCTGAGATATAGAAAAGGTGAAAGTCGGGGTTCAAAACTCATAACCCGTGGCCTGCTTCATGTGCTCAAATTGGTCTACATAGACTGGGTGTGTGCATATGCTTTCACTACAGTTATGTCTAAGTAGTTTAGTGTGGTCAGATTTCAGAAAAGGATGTTGACTACAGAGGAAGAGCTGCTATCTATTTGTACACTGGCATGTGCAGTGAAGAAAGTCCACAAAATTAAGTGGAAAAGTAAATGGTCTAAATTTGTTGGCATTTTTACATCTGTACTTGCTTTTATTTTCCAGTCATGGCTCATTATGGTGAATATGAATTGTACACTAATACGAATTCTTTGGAAAAGTTGCTTTTTCACAGCTGATAATGGCAGGATTTAGCAGCTGCCTATCATGTTGCCAGTGTCCAGTATAGGTTATTAATTTATATCTCTACTATCTTATCTCTACTATATACTCTAGCAACATGCACAGTACACCCCATGTGCTGCTTTTTGCTTTATTTACATTCTTGCCCACCCAACAAAAGAAATGCACTTTGCACAATAAACAGAGCATTAAAATACATATGTCAAATATGTACAGTCTCGTTCAAGATTCTTCGAACACTGCTGGAGGCAGCGGGCAACTCGAGGCCGTTTGTTTACTAAAGTACGTAGTAATGTATAATATAATATGAAACAACAAAGCCCAACCTTTAAATTAAGCAACGGGGATTTAAGTAACCCATCACCGATCACTTTTACATTTATTTATAATTTTTACTATGTACTATAGAGATTGCATTTGCACATTTCCCATGTTCCAGGTGCATAAGTGAATTAGCTACTTGAGTAACTTGGGCTGTAGGCTCACACCTAGTTCATATTCTACTGCCATTGTGCAAGGTTATTCCCTTGCCCCCCCCTGTTGTTTTTGCATACAATTTGTGTTGTACATTACTGTATGAAGACAATCAGCCAAGAATACAATGTTAATGCAGTGTTAAGAATGTAAAAGTGATTACAGTTTCGTATACTGTACTGTACATTCAACAGAGTGGACATTGTATGCCTACTGTAGGCTAGTGAGTAAACGTGTATGTATATTATACAGTGCGTGTACAATTCCTCCATGATTATGCTTACCAATTTTCAAGCCACTCTATTGTATTCAAAACTACGCCTAGTTAGCATAACAGTTTTAGAGTTGACACACCAAGGCTGACTAATAATAAAGGCTTTTCATTTTAAGTGATATAACATCTTATCTCAATAAATTTATCGATCTTCAATATGATCATGGGCAAATAATAATAATTATCTATAAGTATACTTTATTTAATCAAACCAGTAACTCGAGTACAGTATATAAGGTGCACAGAGAACATGGTATGCATATAATATATTCACAATTCAAGTTCAGGTGGTAAACTTACATCAAGGTCATCATGAAACCTACAGTTCAACAATATCACAGCAGCAATTGCATTATTTACTACCCAATTCTTTTTAACACTTTTCTCGAGTATCAATTTTACAATGGTGAATATAGTTATGATTGAATCCTCAAGTAATGTCTATGATCTGTGTAAATACCATCTCTTAAAATCTTTCCGCTGACAGAATTTGAAACATGATACAGTAAACTGTAAAGCCCATTCTATGGTTGTGAGTAGTTGATATCCCAATTTTAAAAGATGATTGTTCAAGATCATAAGTGTTTTAATTCTATCAGCATTTTCACTATATAGACCAAAATCTGTTCTCCAAGACAGAGATAAATATCTATAACATCTGATGCTTCCATAATGTATATTATGGTATATGTGCTTTAAAGTACACAGTGAAAAACATTTGACTAATCAAAATCCAGTTATCAATAATGACAAAGAATGGACACCCATTCTTCTCCCCACTTCTCAGAAACCATGTCCTTTTTCCAGTTTTTCATCATTTGGTTATATGGTATGTTCTCGCTGATCAAGCCTTCAATGATCGTATATGGCCTCTGTTGAAAACTGCTAAAATGTTATATGGTAATAACCAACATGATGTAAAACTAAAACAGGCCAGAAGAGTATCATCTGCCATAAACCACAGCTCAACACTGTTTTGGTCTATAGCTTCATATTTTCTGACCAAGCACAGTACTTTGAGAGATGAGACTGTTGGGTACTTAATAAAGGCATACTTAGGAACCGAGCTAAAAAAATTGCATAGAATCCCAATGAAAGCAAAGTAACCCACGAGTAATTTGTACACACCTCTATTCATCAGTTAATATCCTGGACTCCTCTTTTTTTTTATCTTCATACAATTCTATAACCTAAAACTTAATCAAATCTATCCTCAACAAACAATTGAGTTTGACATATCAATGAGATAAGGAACATCTACAGAGCAAATTAACTTTTAAAATGAAAAGTATATCCAACCAAATTCTACTTAAACAACATTCCTATATCTTTGGTAATACAGGTACTCTTTAAATATTGAATGTATGAAAGTTTTATTTCTAAATCCAGGATGTAAGGATGAGAAGAGTTGGTGTGTATGCTGCTTAACCTCATCCACCACCAGATAGGCTACGTTGAGGTCTCCAACCACGAGTTTCACCAATCCCATCGCCACTTAATGGGTTGTACTCTGTTGGTATTAAAAGTCACTAATTAACCTCTTCACTCCAGAAACGTGCAAAATGGGAGTGTGATATTGAGGGGAAGCATGCTAGCCAGTCTGAGATTACTTAATCATTTATTGTATGAACTTGTATTCCACTAGACCCCTCAATGTCTGTAAAAAGCCTAATGTTGGTTATGTCACTCAATTGTATGTTATGTGTAAGCAGGCTAATTCATGTTCAGACATGCTGGACATCACTCACTCAGGAACAGTACATTATAGCAAGAGTAAAATTGTGATGTAGTTTCATCAAATGTAGTAAGATCGACTTTGCAGTAAATACACTGGGCTTCGTAGAGCACACTGAATACTTCAGATTGTGAAGGAGAGATTAAATATGCACAGGAAACGTAGTTGATAATATATGAAAAAAAGTTGTGCCAAGTAGCACCTAGCTTCAGTCATACCACTGTGGAAGACAGAGTACTGAACTAAGATCTGAAACTGGTGGAAAATACCTAGATGGTGCCACTAAGTTGAATATATATATATATATATATATATATATATATATATATATATATATATATATATATATATATATATATATATATATATATATACACACACTAACCTGGTCTGAGTCTTGGTTTTCCAGATGGTTTGTCACTGGAGGTGTTACCCTGAGCAGCAGGTGATGTCCCACTAGCACCTGATCTGTTCTTATTCCAATATCCTTCACCTCGCTTGTGACGCTCCCATTCTTCTATGCGTTCTAGTCTCCGTTTTTCTTCTTGCTAAAATTATAAAACAAAGGAGTGAACCAAAAAATTCCATATTATTGCCTAGAGCAGGGGTTCCCAAGCATTTTCCAGTGTGACACCCCCCCCCCTCACACACACACAAAAAGGATAGAGATAATAGCACACCATCCCACCATGATTTACCATCCTTTACCAGTCCCCAACTGGATATTTTATAACCAAGACACATAACCACAATATCCTGAAGCCTTCTTGTTATCAGGGCAAGCCTAACCTAGACTGACCTAACTTGACACAAGGAGAGTAAGCAGCGTTAATCCCATGACCATAATATATGGTCCCGACTTAACGAGACAGCACCTGTCAGCCACGTCCCTCAATTACATGTTACCGCTGCAAGACCCAGGTGACTCCAGCGACCCCAAGACTTCTTTGCGACCCCTTTTAATGCATCTTGCAACCCTATTTGGGGTCGCGACCCCGTGTTTGGGAACCACTGATCTCAAGGAAGAGTCAAGTGACGTGTGAGATACCTTACCCAAACAGATCCTGACAGCCTCTCTTATGCATAGAGCTATCTGCATTGTATTTCAATACAAGGACACTAACTTCCCAGGTTAATCAGTGATCAGGGAGGATGATACTTTAACCATGAATCAATTGAGTGGTTGTTTAGGGCAATCTTTCACTGATCAATGTAGGTCAGTGTCACTACCTCAGAACACAGATAACCTTCTGGATAAAGTAGGCTCTGTCAGGTGGTGCTCTCAAAAAATTCTAACAAGTCACTCAATATATCACAAAGACCACATGAAGACTTATTTAGTGCATGAAATTTTGATATAATATATGGCAGAAATTGAGTAAAATCTAAAATTTTGGCTATAAAACATACTAGACATTTACGTTCAATTTAAAATTGGTGAAATCTATTTACAGTAATATGAAAGCCATGGAATCATTTAATCAGGTTATGAAAGATAAGGTACCTCTAAGAATTTCGCTGCTTTTATCTGTGCTTCCTCATTGTACTTCTCCTGCATCCTTTTGCGAGCTTCATCCAGTGCTCTTTCTCTAGCTAGCACTGTATCTGGATCTGGAGAGTAGTCATTTTTTGGGTGAAACAATGCAGACATCACAGTATAATACAGTATTTAAATTTATGACAAAAAGCAAAAATTACATTCTTCCCTTGCAATAAAAAGAAGTGTAGGTACTGACAACAATGTGATGATGCTTAAGAAAGAACTCCTTAAGCCAAGAGTTACATTGTATTATGTCTATTAGATATATAATGGAATGCTCATCTACTTTCTTCAAATTACTACAGCACAGTACCAGGATTCATATAACATACTAATCCTTTCTACAGGGTGCTGACAGTCACATTACGCCCTTCTCACAAGTTCACAATATGAAAACTTAAAACATGTAAAAGCTTCTACAACTTATATGAATACATCACAACATTCTATAATAAAATACATAAATCAATTGTTACTGGTACAGTTGCAGAAATGTGTTCCTACACCCCGTGGTAACCTGTCTCCAAAAAGCAATGTCGCAATAATAGTACGTATTGCTATTTATGAATGAATGGGTATTGGTCGTGTAACGACGTACGTGATTGGTGAATAGGTTTGCTATAGGTCATATAGGTTGGCCGTTTGGAAAGACAGGTTATCACAGGAGGTTAGGAACATATTTCTGCAACTGTACAGTCAGGGTCAAAAGTCTGAACACTTAAGAATATTTGGCATGCAAGTACCCGAAGGTCTTAGGTATTTAGGAGAGTTTTATCCCATTTTAAGCATAACATGTGATGACAAGTAGTGTTATTAGTATATCCCAATCATATATGTATAACTCAGAAGTAGATGCCAGATACTGCTAGTGTTCAAGACCTTTGACTCTGACTGTACATATCAATTTGTCAATTGTCTCATTTTAGTAACCCATCACTATTTCTTCCCTGATAGTGTACTTTTTTATTTCCTCTGAAACCTCTAGGTGTATATATTTATATACTGTAAATATAAATCTAGATTTATTAAACACTCGGCTCATCCTCTCAAAAAAATTATATATATATATATATATATATATATATATATATATATATATATATATATATATATATATATATATATATATATATATATATATATATATATATATATATATATATATATACATATATATACATTATTACATACATATATAATATACATATATATATGTATATATATATACATATATATATATATATATATATATATATATATATATATATATATATATATATATATATATATATATATATATATATTTATATATATATATATATATATATATATATATATATATATATATATATATATATACACATACATGCTGCTACAGGGTGTGAGTACACTAAAAGAGAAGTAATAAAACAAGGTGTATATATACAGGTGAGGTGAGACCAGGTCCACAATGGTCAGGTATTAGGTAATGACTTACTAATCTTCCTGGCCTGTCCTAACACTATATTTATGTAGTGTTAGGACAGGCCAGGAATCCAATGCTCTGTTTGTTCATTTGAGGGATAACAAGCATTGCATTGACTGGGATAATGCCTCCTCAATATTACCTTGTAATTCAATTGATAGTAGGAACATCATAGAATCTAGTCTCATTAAACATACCTAAGCATTCAACATGAATTTGAGTAATGGCATGTACAAACTGAACGATTTTGTAATTAAGAAGATTTGTAACCAGGTGAGAAGGTTGGGTCACCTTACCCTCTGACCTGACTACCGACCGTTGCGGTGCTATTTAAAGATTAGTAGGGTCATTACCTAATACCTGACCATTGTGGACCTGGTCTCACCCTCCTCTGTATATATATACACCTTGTTTTGTACTTCTCTTTAGTCTGTACTCACCCCTGAAGATGTGAATTACACGAAAGCGCTTGGGAACTTCGTGTTTTCTTCTTTCCTTGTGGTTATCAGCATATACCTAGATCACGCACGCCTACAGTGATTTACTTGCATTATTGCTACATACATATATATATATATATATATATATATATATATATATATATATATATATATATATATATATATATATATATATATATATATATATATACACACCTGACTTGGCTAGTCACGTCACCACCCTTCTCTTAAGCTCCTCTACGTGTGTGTTGGTGTGGGGATTAGTGGATGTCATCATTTTGACCTGACCTCATGTTTTTAGGTCACCCTGTATATTTAAGCCTCTCTCTGTCCATGTAATCCAGTTGCCTCTGAAGATGTCTTGAATAAAGACGAAAGCTAAGGTACTCCGTTGTTTCCATTTTCCCGTGTGATTTTATCAAGATATATATATATATATATATATATATATATATATATATATATATATATATATATATATATATATATATATATATATATATATATATATATATATATATATATATACACATACACTCCCCGACTTACGACGGGGTTAGGGACCGACATACAGGTCTTAAGTCGAAATCGTCGTAAGTCGGAAATGCTTAAATAACACATAGAAAAACGAAAATTTGGGTCTCTTTTTCTTCTCAGCACCACAAAACACTCACTTTTAACCTTGCCAGCCATTTTAAAGTGAATTACAGATGAAAATTTTGTCTGTGTACTGATTTTGGGACTCAAAAATATATAATTTGACCACTATATATATATATATATATATATATATATATATATATATATATATATATATATATATATATATATATATATATATATATATATATATATATATATATATATATATATATACAGGGGTATAAATAAACCTACCTTTATGATACTCAGCATATTCTTGATATTCTTTTTGTTTTTTAAGCCAAAGTTGGAATTTTGGCTCCACAATGCGCCACAGAATGTAACCAAGCAACAAAAACCCTAAGGCATACCAGCCATTGGAAGCTATGGCTGCTATTACTGAAAAGAGATTGGTTAAAACTATGTATTATTATGTATCCTGTTCATCTAATAAAACAAGGTGTTTAATGAAGTGCCACCCTTGAACATTATACTCCCTATAATTCATGTAAATGTGGTATACTGTACACTGAAGAGATGACTTCGGGTATATAGGAATCAAATACAACTGATTAGTAGGAAACTTGACATATTAGCACCATCATCTACAGTATACTGTACTGTATTATTATTGAATAAAAAAGGTAATGTAAAAAAAAACTTTCCACTTAACAACACAGTCTGCTTTGAGGATTTCACTGAAATATTTGTTTGAATGCCTAAAATGCAAATCTAGAGATGGAACATGGAAAAATATGGACAGAATTTCCCATTGAAGGAAGGAGGCTGTAGCATCTATATGCCTTTGGTACACTGGTAGCAAGTTTGCCTCCCTCCTGAGTTCATTCCCCCAAGAGTATAATATTAGTGTCATAACAGATAAACCCATTCTCAAATCTGACTAGGGATCAAACCCTAGTCACAGCATTGAGAGACAAGAGCATAGCTACTATTCCACCAACAGACAATCGGTATTACCTTTAGTTATTAAGTACGATAAGAACCATGGACTCTGTTGCTGTAGTGTGGGTGGGTGAAGGCCATCTACATTACTATCCACATCTTCCACCTCATCTGGTTCTGCAATCACCTGTTCAGGCTCCCCCATTGCAAATTCCTGTGAACAAATTACTGAAAATATAAAACAAAGCTAAGTAGGATTCAGTATAGCTATTGGTATGTGATAGTGTAGTGGTGTCAAACTCAAAACCTTTCGAGGTCCAATTCTTATTTTAGTTACCCTCTTCAGGGCCAACACAAGCACTATATCACATATTTGCAGGATTGAAGTTTACAGCTTCACACATTGCCTTTCATGGCTTACCAGGAATACCTCATTTGGGCTTGTCTGATCTTAAGTATGTAAAATTCATTTTACAAAATAAACATGATTATATCTATTTTTTTCATAATTTCACGGGATGATAAATTTTACTGTCATCCCGCGGGCCACACCTGACCAACCCAAGGGCCACATTTGGCCCGCAAGCCATGACTTTGATACCCCTGTGCTAGTGTGTACTTGAAAAAAAGTAATACTGGTCAAGGAATGTTTTTAGTCCTTGATAAGAATAACAAGTACCAGTTGCAATGAAATGGGTACCAGTAGGTTAGGTTAACCAAACTCTACCGGTATACAGAATTATTGGGTGGAAGATAACGGGTGGAAGATCTATGAAAACAAACATGAATGTACCGAACCTAAATTCATCCTCAATATGCATAGGAAGAGCAGCCACCAAGGTCATTGCGGATACAGTGGTCCCTCGGTTAATGAGCACAATTCGTTCTAGAAGGTTGCTCGTTAACCGAAAAATTTGTTAACCGAAACCATTGTTTCAATGGGTTATTGGGTAATTTGTTCCAGCTCACCAAAAATTGCCTAAAGTCAACAAAAAAGGTAGTAAAGTACACTTACTTTGAGGTGTGTATGTAGAAGGCTCCTGGATGATGATGATGATGATGATGATGGGAATTAGAATGGGGGTGGAGGAAAAGGGAGAAGAGAAGGCATTGGGATGGAAGAGAAGTCACCCCATGGTGCCATTTCACTCATAAAATTTTAGTTCACTAGGTGTAATTCAAGATTACTTTCTTTAAATCAACACTGCACTGCATTATATATTGTCAATATGTAAAATAAATTTCAAAATGACCAATAATTTGACTGGAAACACAGAAAAAAAGCATTTATGTTGATGAGTCTGAAGCAAGATGTTACCTCCACTGAAAAGACACAGAGACTGACGCCTGTATGGTGTGTCGACAGGCTGTTTGGCGCGGTAAAAACTAGTTTCCCTGTGCTTAAATTATGTTAAATAATTTTTAAAATGACAAAAAATTTTAATATAAGACTTAAAATTATTGAATAGTACAAACTTCTTGATATTTACTAAAATAGTAAGGAATTTAAGCCCTAGAACCGATTACTGTATTGGCGGACTAATATGACAGCTAGTGTGCAAGCGAAATTATGTTGAGGGGCGCTCGTAAGGAATTCGTTAATCGAGGGAATGCTCGTTAACCGAAGTTAAGAATCTTATGGAAGGTAATTCGTTAACCGAGGCACTCGTTAACCGAGGGATTACTGTACTGTACAGTACAAGGCCTGTATGACTAGGAGAGATGACAATATAAAACTAACCAAAACCAACATAACAAGTTTAGGTTTCATTTAAGTTAGGTTTAGTTAATATTGTTTGTTACCTTTCACAAATAATTTAAGAAGGTAAAATTTTAGTTTTGGACATCCCTATATTTAGATATCCAAACTATGTGATTTCCAACAGATATGAATGTCCAAATTGTTCAAAACACAAAAAAAACATCGGAAAAACATAGTTTGGATACCTAACATAACCTCATTCCTAAGATTACCCAAATGACCGAAACTAAAATACAGTAGTAATACCGTTTAAATACTGCAGTCTCAACCACTATTTATGAACAAGCACCTGGAGATGCTTTCAATAAGACTTGACACACAAATCCACTTAAGTTTAAATTTCCTTCTTTAGATATATTTCTCGAGGTAGCTGGTTAACCTTGTTAAATGTTACCAAATTTACAAGCCATAGCTACAGTGCAGAAGGAGAGTAATACAATACTGTACTCTGGAACACCAATTTGTGTTAATCAGCAACTTTAGGAAAATATTCTAAAGAAGAAAACTTTCTTCTCTCTGAAATACTGTACCTCATAAAGGGTGGATAAATTGCTACTTTCCAAATCATATTTTGTCATTTCTTTTAGTTCTGAACATTAACCTAGTGATGCCATATTGACTTACAGTACTTATACATCTATGATTTATTGTTTACCGTATAGGATTTTTTTATGTGTTTTGTTGTGGTTTTAATGGATATGGTCTTTGTTTTGGAGGCTAATGCTATTTTAACGAAATAACCCCCTTAAAACTAATAATGACATTGAATCCTTCCAAAGTGGACAAGATTTAGAAGATGAGGAAAAAATGTGGGGTAAAGGTGGAGGAGACAGTTGGCACCAGAAATAATTTATGGAATTGAACCTAAATTCCTGGAGATACAACTTGCCTGATACTGAACATGTAATGGAAGCATGAAAGCATAGAACTTATTAGAAACTGCCTTAACCTACCTAACCTTACCGAACCTCACCTAACTTCCTAGCCTGTGCAGTATTGTTTCGATTTAACTTACTACCATCCAAACAACTTCTCTAGAAAAATTAAAGAACTCAATCCAATGTAAATCAAAATAAACATGCCCGATAAGATCGTTGTTGGTTTCTTGACATGTAAACAAAGACCGCGGATGCTCCTGTATCGCAGACAATGTGTACCAAAACATGGTCGCCACGGGAGATCCGATGGCACCATAATTATGGTAAATATTTATTTCTTCGCCTACAAAGGACATAGAAATGTGAAATTACTGCCATATATTCCGTGTTCGCTGTGTTTTTTACCCAGTTATTTCCCTCTTCTTTCATGCCCTGCGCAATACCAAGTAATTTATGATCAAAGGATAGGCTAAAGAGAAAAACTATAATGTTGTCGCTTCAATTTTTTTTACTCCATATCATCCAAACAACATCTGAAATTTTGGTGTAATTCCATAAAGTCCTTCTGGTGCTAACCGTTTCCTTCACCTTTACCAAATGCAGGGTTAAAATACCAATAAAACCTTTGAGAACCCAACTTAACTTTTTCTAACCTATATTGTATTAAAACCTATTTCAACAAAATTCTTACTTTATTCATCTGATGGACAAGCAGTCACTGTTTCTGTGAAACTGCTTTCACACACTGCGAATCGTGTTTACATTTAGTAGACCTGATCTGGACACAACAAGACAACAACATTGATAGATTTTAAGTTCGCTAAACACATTTTCGCAGGATACTATAATCAAAGGTGTTTCACATGAACTTCACATGATATGCTTTGACCAATCTGAAAACAGTTCAAATGCAAAAAACAGAATTATCTATCAGTATTCATTTGTATACGTATATAGCTCCTTCATCACCTAAACACCAAAAACATCCAAATACAAGAAGGGAATCACCTTTTCGTCTGCCATCGGTTAGGTTAGGTTAAGTAAGTTGGTTTCTTTGGTATGAGAATAGGTTTTTGGTGTGTTTTACTAAAATCTGACCTCCATTTTTTTGCAAATTAGTGGTTTCTATTAAAAACGAAAATGTACATTTTTTGCAAAAAAATTTTAATTTGCAGAAATGAGTCCAATTTGAGTAAGACACACCAAAAAACACCAAAGAAACCTATTCTCATACCAAAACCTGAGGACAGCCAATGAACGAATATTTACCTTCTTTTTGCCAGTGTTCCATAGTACAGGTATTACCAAGGAAAGTATATTTTTATTGTAACTTCTATGATGTTAAGAAATTGCATTTTGCATCTTCATAATCCCAGCAAATCATATGTAATACATTAAATCCACAAGAAACAAAGGTAAAATTATCATTTCGGTCATCTACCTATTTGAAATGGTCAGAATCATTCAAAACATGAAAAAACATCGGGAAAACATAATTTCAACGGTCAATTTAGAATAGTAGCCACGTTTTGGTTAGGTTAGGGCACTTAGCACCAGAAATAGAGGTCAAATTAGTTCGAATCACAACAAGAACCAAAAGAAAACATTTTATTATGATAAATTAGAAACCTGGCTATCATAAATTGACCCTTTCAACCTAACACTAGCCTCACTAGATGACCAAAACGATAATAATACCTTAACAAATTGGGAACCTTATTATTAATGTTGCAAATGAATGCCTCTGCATCACAGGTCCTGGTCCTAAACCTACGTTCTTGATTTCCCCAAAAGTTGTTCATTAAGTTTGGTATTATTGCAGTTTCGGCCAATACATGGCCGACTATTTTAACCATCCCCAACCTTTAGATATCCTTATTTGGAGTATTTCTGACCCCATTTCAACCAGGGGGCAAAGAATAGAAATGTCAGAAATTATTTTTAAAGTTTTGGGGGATAACTCTAAAACGGGTACTTTCCCCCGGAAATAAATGTCAAATTCGATTAAATCACAGCAAAATACACAGGATAAACTAATTTCTAAACTATTCGGGCATATTGACCGAAACTGTAATTTTACTTTAAGTTTTGATATTTCCCCTACTAACTCAACGTTTCCTTTTATCCTTGGGCGATCAGTCACGTCTCTGTTACGCCCTGTTGGTAAGTACTGGGCATGAACTGGCTCCTGAATTTATAGTAACCTGCTCCAGTGTTAGTCATGTCTGGCCCAACACTGTTTTCTAAAAATTCTGCAGATTTAAGATCACTTATATTACAAACCTTAATGAAGTTAAATTTGTATAAATCCAACTTACAGGACAGTTGATCAAGTCACGTGCTTTTACTGCCGCCCTTCTTGAGTCCTTGACGTGACTTCCTTCTCCTGTAGTCTTGTGTTGTTTATGTATGATGAGTTGCCAGTTGCCACACAGACCGTCGTACGGGTCCAAGGTTGTGCCAGGACTGCCAGTCAGTCTTCCAGCACATTCACAAATACATCTCTTTTTAAAATTACTAAATCAATTTCTCTTCTTCAACAACATAAAAACATCTCTGAATAATATTTATGAAATAAATTGAATATATCTCCTTGAGTTTTTTAGCTTTACTATTAACATAAACGGATATGACTCATTTACTTGGGATGGGCAAACCGAGCACAGTACTTGAAAGAACCGAATATTTCGGTACTCATTATTGCTCTTCAGAACCGATTAAGCCGAATACTAATTATTATTTTTGTATCTGACTTTTTTGTG